CGGTTATATTAACAGACATTAATGACAAGGTGTTATGGGTTACACATGCACAAACGTTAGGAAGTATATACGTAATATTCTAAATGTGAGGGGATTTAAATGATAAAGTGACAAGTATGAGGGGATCTGAGTATAATTTATTAATTTAGTTTTAGACGGCAATCTGACCACTGTTAGTTTCAGTTGTGCATCAATATATATATGTATCTTTGAGGGTATAAATTGAAAATTTTGATCTTTGAGGTACAAATTAAAATTTAAATATTTTTTTAGGGTGTAATTTATAATTAATCCTTTTTTTTGGAGAATTACACTTAGACTTCTTGAGTTTGTCACATAATCATTTAGACCCCTAACATTTAAAATATTACACATAGACCCCTTAACGTTTGTACGCGCATAACACTTAGATTCATACTGTAAATATATCCATTAATAAATTATACCTAGACTTCCTTAAAGTTTGTAAGTATATAATACTTAGACCTTTTAAGTTTAAAATATTATGTTTAAACCAAAAACACTTCAATCAAGGATAGAATATCAAATATTTTAAATTTTACAATCAAAATTCCTATTATATTGTATCATTTATTGAAATAAAAATTAAATTTTTTCTTAAAAAATTGTAATTAGTATACAATTATACTATCTATTGGAATAAAACTAAAAAAAATCAAACAATGGGTCTAAGTCATTCATAATAGAACATAAATTTTACATGTAAAATTCATGTTCTATTATGTCATTTATTGAAATAAAATCAAAAATAAAAATCTAGTTTTTTTTTTAAATCATTGTTAGTATATAATTATACTAACTATTAGAATAAAATTAAACAAAGAGTTAAACTGTAATGAACACAATATCTTTTACCTTTAATTGGGATAGTTTGATATTTTAATTTGGTCGTTTAAATGACCAAATTAAATTCTAATAGATAATATAATTGTATACTAATTACGATTTTTTAAGAAAAAATTAAATTTTTATTTTTAATTTTATTTCAATAAAAGATAAATAAAACACGAATTTTAATTGTAAAATTTAAAATATTTGATATTTTATTTTTGATTGAAGTATTTTTTGTCCGATTATAACATTTTAAATTTAAGAGGTCTGTTTACAAACTTTAGGGGTCTAGTTGTAATTTATTAACGAATATATTTATAGCAGGGGTCTCAGTGTTACGCGCGTACAAACTTTAGAGGGTAGTGTGTAATATTTTAAATGTCAGAAAGTCTAAGTGATTTAGTGACAAATTTAAAAAATCTAGATGTAATTCTCTTTTTTTTTTTAATTGGGCCTAAAGCTCGTGCTTTAGGTCCTTCTATACTCTCTAGGGTTTCAAAGCCTCACCAAATTTCCACCATCTGTCTCGAATTTCATCCATCGTACTGTCTAGGTTGTTTCCACTTAGAAGCTCGTCTAGTTTCCACAGTCTTTTTGTCGCACATACATACTTTGATTACCTGTATGTCTATCTATCTTGCATACCCACCACTTACCTCAAGGATGGCCCAACACAAATTAGGGGTTAAAACAAGAATTTTACATGAAATTTCATTAAATATTTTAAGAAGATAATTTTTTTAATTAGTATCAGACATTTTATAGAAAGTTGTGATATGATTTTGTTTTTAGGAGTTTTGAGATCGGGTGAGATCAAACAATAAATTGGGTGCAATTGTAAAGTCAGGATGTTACACATTAATAAATTGAACAAAAACTTAAAGTGACAACAAAAAAGTTAGAGATAATGACAAAAAACCAAAGCAAGACAATGAGCGTGGGAGGAAGCGAAAAAGTTGAAGAGAGACGATGAGAGTTAAGGTAAAAATAGTAAAAAACATCAAAAATGATTGTAACTTTTATAACTAGAAGTCCTTATTTTTATATTTTTTTAGAAGAATTTATTATATTTTATGAGTTTCTATAAGATTAACATAGACTTGTGAAATTGTTACATTTTAGAATATTTTATAAGACTTTAGATAGACTTGTGAAATATATTGGCCTTTAACTTTGTCAATTTAAAAGGGTTTCATAACATAAAATTGAATTAAAGGCTGAAAATTAAATTGGGGCCATAAATTTTGGGGCTCTAAATGACTATTTTAATGGTTAGGCCCTAGAGCCGACCCTACTATGGCTCCTTTCATCCAAATGATTGAAGTGTTTCTGCATTTCGCAGTAATTATAATCTCTACCCGTCATTCACTGTCGAGTCTTTGTCTATGAAACCGATTAAGTAAGACAAATTGATTATTTGATAATATGCAAAGATTAAATCTAATATATGTGTTATTCTATATTTTATACATTTTTTTAATTTGTCAAATTATGTGTAGACCATTATAAAGTACTGTCAGAATAAATATGTTCAATGTTACAATGTGGTGTTACATATATTTTTTTTTAGTAATTTAGGCATTTAAGATATATTGAACATTACATATGTGTTATTTAATACACATGCTATCTGCGTACAACTGTTCAATAGTATAATTTATATGAATTATAAATATATATAGATCATCTTGACTAACTACACATTTTTTAGTAAATAAATCTGCACATCTGTTTATCCTTCTTTTCTCTTGCTTGACCTGCATTTTTTTGAGATGCAATCTATTGTTTCATTACAATTTTTATGTTTTTTTTAATTTTTTTTGTATGTTATTTATAAAAATTGTGGTAGTACATGATTGACTATCAATTTACATTTGTAATTCTTTGTTATTGAGTTAGTTTACTATTTTTTTATGATCCTTAACTTGTTTATGTATGCAATGTTCACCTACTATTTTAGTGTATTTTATTTTTCCTGATAATAAATTTATTGAATTTTTTTTGATGTTAATTACTTTTTATTGTGGATCCTTTATGAAAATAAACAATTTAATTAATTGTATTTTTATATTTAAATGGGAAACAAAATCAACTTTGAGAAAAATAGAAAATGTACTTGATTTATTTTTATTTATAGAAGAAATATGTTTATTATATTTTTTTATCCAAGTGTTAATCCTTTTTCTTTTCTGCCATTTAAAATGTGTATGTGTGAGATAGATTACACTTTTTGACCTAAATTTTAAATTTTATTTTATGGATTTAATTTTTCGAGTGTTCAAATTTTCCCATATCTGACCAATTTCAACCCTACACAACTTGATTGATTAGCTTCCGTAAAAATCGGCCAGCTAATGAAAGAATTTTTGGTTTCTCGGGCGAAATACCCACAAAAAATTTGCATTTTTACCTGATCCGACTCGACCCACATGTATAATTTTTTAAAGAATAAATTGTACTAGAGATCCTCAAAGTATGAAATTTATCTCATTTTAGTCTCTAATATTTCAATTACATTATTTTGGTCTCCAAAACATTGAATATGTTTTTATATGATCTTTTAAGCCGATAACGTTCAGATTGCTAATGATTTTTTATCATAAACTTATCATGTAATACATAAATATAGACAAAAATTAATTTTGATAACTCTTAAACAAAATTTGGGTAACTTCTGACAAAAAAATTAATGTAGGTAGCTTTTGACTAAAATTTGGATAACTCTTGATCAAAATTGTGTAATTTAGATAGCTATTTAACTAAAATTTGAGTAAAAATTTAATCAAGAGTTATTTAAATTATTTTTTTGTCCATATTTAAGTATCATGTGATAAGTTTATAATAAAAAATTATTAACAATTTAGACATTGTCTACTTGAGAAATCTAATAAAAATATATTCAATAATTTAAGAATTAAAACATTGTAATTGAAATATTAAGGATTGTGACAAACTCCACAGACCTCCCTTGCAATTATCTTAAAAAAAATATAGTAAAACCCACCATCAGTCGATTGATCCCTAGCGCGTCCTCCTATTCGAATCGCTCAGACTCTCGCCTCTCTCGCCGCCTTCTCTTCGAAACCGCAAGCCACACGCATCCAAGGTTCTCTATCTCTCTCTCTTTCTGTATGACAGTCCATGTGTGAGTCTTAATTCCTTTTGTTTTTCTGGAATTGAAATCATATGATGAGAGTTGCAGGAGTTTTTTTTTGTTAAACTAAATTATAATGAGTTTTAATCATTGATCTATATTTCATTATTGAACTCTAAAATTTGGGGCATTTTTAATATGTAGGGCTTAAAGCCCATGCTTTTTTGAATAAACTGTTGAGCCGGCCATGACCTACCTTCACTGAGATTGCTATTAATTTTCAGGAAATTTGAAATATTCTGCCCAGTAAGTTCAGGTTAATCACAATATATGTCTTCTACTCACCATCTCTCCATAATTCTCTATGTTAGAGTAAAACCCAGCAGCTCTGTATTTTTATTTTTATTTTTTTGAAAAGTATTTTTTTAGTCATGTTCCGTTTGATAGTTTCTGATAACTTAACGCAACCCAAAATGCTATCTACTTTTGGGAGGTGGGTTTATCTGGAATTTGTGATCTTTTGATGTTCTGACTACCGTTTGATGAAATGCTTCAGCGAATAGTTCGTTCTGTTTTCTATATGTTTGTGGGTTTCGTATTGGGACATGATTTTGAATACTTGAGTTGTGGCTCGAAAAAGATAATGTACGTAGATGGCTGGGAAAGAACTTCAAGCCACCGTTGTCTCAAGAAAGTCAAGAGACGAATTTTACCTTCATCATTACATGATAGTTCATATCTTATGATATCTTTGTTATAATGCTTTTATATTAGGGACAAGTTGTTTAATCTTTTGTTGGTCTTGGATTTGATGTGCGCTATTTATGCATAGGTTCCCAAGTTATGCATGTGGGTTAAGGTATTTCTCACCTGTAGTAGGTTGCCACTGAAAGGCAGTGCCTTTAGGAAATTGACTGCTAAGAGATGCTGTTGAAAGTGGCCCCTATATTCTACACCCATATTGATTACTTCATAAACTTTAGGGTTTTGATCATCTTTTCATCTGATATATTTTCTTGCAGAAGTAACGGGTTCTTTATAACTCAAGGGCACAATGAGGTTGGAGAAATGCTGGTTCTGTTCCTCTACCGTATATCCTGGACATGGTATTCAATATGTTAGGAATGATGCAAAGGTAAATTTAATTCAACTTTTCTTCATTGTTTGTACCTTGGCTTTAGTCCTTCCAATGCCTTGGCATCCTTGAGATTTTGTGCACATACAAATTTTAAAACTGCAGATGTAAATTTTTTGATAGGTTAGTAGTTAGTTGATTAGAGGCCAACCTTAGCTTGTTTGAGGGCTAGAACTCTGGTGATTGTTTGACCTTGACTATTTGAGCCTACAAAATTTTTACAGCACTACCCAGATCTGACTAGATCAAGCTTCTCAATATTACGATGAAACCAATCAATTTTGTAAGCAAGTTTATGTTTCCACGCATACATCAGCAATTCAAAGATTAAGTGATTCTCTAAGATGATATACCATATCTGCCAGTTACCTCTTGAAGTCTTGATCTTAGCTTTCTTGATTTGGATATGACTTCGATTCCTTGAATAGTATACGCTTTTTAACAAGTGCGAGGTGTGCTTGCATGCCTCTACCTTATGCAATTATTACTATTGTAGAGGCATGTGTAAAATTGACTTGATGTCTGGGTGCATATCTGGGTGTCTGATCAGAAAATGACACAAGGTGCAACAATAATACAGCTGTATTTTTTTTCCCTTTTTTTTGTCTTGTGGGTTGGTCAATTTGAATTTACAATTTGCGGTGGTGGTGATCTCAGTGGTCAGAGTATATTCTTAATTTAATAGCAATATTAGTTGCAGGAATAAATTCTGACTAGCATGCCATTTGCAGATCTTCCGTTTTTGTAGAGCTAAATGCCACAAGAACTTCAAGATGAAGAGGAACCCTCGTAAAGTTAAATGGACCAAGGCTTACAGGCGTCTGCATGGAAAGGACATGACTCAGGTTCACAAAGTTGCTTTAATATAATTTGGCGGTCACTCATTTTCTTTGATGAGTCGTATTATTCCTTACTGATCTTACTTCGGTTGTCATGTATACTTTTGCTGTTGTATATTCCATTTTCAAGGACGCAACATTTGAATTTGAGAGGAAACGAAATAGGCCAGAGAGATATGACAGGAATCTCACGGAGAACACCCTGAAAGCCATTAAGAAGATTGATAAAGTTAGAGTTGATAGGGAGGCGAGACATCATGCATCGAGGTGCTTCTGCTTCTCAATTGCTCTTTGGATGAAAGAGTTGTATAAGGTCTTCACATTTTCCAATTAACGTATGTTGAAAATTTTGCAGGATGAAGGGAAAGAGAACCAAGGAGCAGAGAGAGGCTGCAAAGGAGCTGGAGCAGAGCATCCACATGGTCAAAGCTCCTGCTGCCCTCCAGCAAGAGCCATCTCTCACCTTACCGAAGATCAAGGTCAAGGTTTTGCAGCAGCAATCAGAGGAAAATTGCATGGAAGAGTGATATTGTTACTAGGGAATGCTTTTGCACTCGTATTTGATACCTTTTTTGTTTGGAGTTTTTTGTATTTCTAGTTTTATGTGTTTTTCCTCCCTCATCAATTTCAGATAGTGAAAGATCAGAGTTTTCTTATGGATTGTCTGTTATGATTGAGCATGTCTGAATATGCTTTGGAAATCATTGTGATCTCTGGTATTATACCAACTGTGTGCTATATGGAACTTTTTAACAATGCTTTGGGGTTTCAAATAGCATTCCTGGCTCTCTTATATCTTTTTTTTTTTTGTGTAGCCTCTTGTCTTGCATGGTTGTTGATTTCATTTCTTCAGGAGCTATGTTTCGAATTGAGGTGATGCCCAAGGAGATCACAGATCTTCCTCGGTGATTTCCAATTCAAGTTATCTTTGTTTCTAGGGGTCAGTACTCATGCTCACTTTGCCGGTTCTGAATACAATGGAAGTGGATAAGAAAGAATTATGATTTTAACAGCCTGCTGGTGTTTGGAATTCCTTACTTTAGCAGTGAAATTGACTGTTTCTGCACTTCTAATGTTCCTGTTTGCACGACGAATGTGTAGTGAAATAAGACCAATACCATGTAGGTAGGGGGAATGGAGGTTCCATGTCGAAGTTGATTGTATGCAGTACAACTCAAGGGAAAGAAGCAGCTCCTTTGGGTCACCACGCTGCCTCCGGGGTGGGTGGGGGTGTGAATCAATGGTCACTTGTTAACCACATCCACTCACATTAAAAGTAACTTGGACATGTAATTATAGTGCAGTGTAGATAATTTTGAAAGAGATATTGATGATTATTGAATGAGTCTATTTGAGATTGTAAGATGAGTTTTCATTATCACTCAGTACCACACAATTATATGTAGGAGACTTTATCACATGTACGTTGAGATTAAAAATTAAAGTTTCATTGTGTGCTTTGAACGTTGAAGAATAAATTTAACGTCAACAAACTATCGTAACTATAAAGATTCGTACTCAAATATTATTGAGTGAGAAAATTTGAGTTCTTTCCTCCTAAGACAACAACTCCTTGGCGATTGATTTCACTTTCTAAGATGCGTCGTGGGTGAAAATAAAAAGATTTTTTTTTGCAGACCTCACGTGTTCTCCTGCTCGCACGTGCAATACAAGATGACATGTTAGTTGTGTCCTTCACTATTCTCTCTCTGTCTGTCTCTCTGTATCGATAGAAACAAGCTTAACCATATAAAAGAGTTCACTGTTTTAGCGCGAAAACAAAGAAAACACATAAAAACCAAACAATACACTCGAAAACATTTCCACAAAACATGTTTTCAGTCACAACCCCTCTCATCAACTACCACCACCACTTAACTCACAAGTTCTTCCCCACACGTACCGTACAGAACCACCCAAACTGTGCCTTCACAATTCGAAGTTCTTCAAGCTTGCAAGAAATCGAAAAACCCGCAGAAAAATCATCGGAGCAGAGAGACTTGGGCCAGAAGCTTTATGCTTCGGAGCCTTTTCCACCGATAAGGGCGGCGAAAAGGGTGGTCTTGGTTCGGCACGGACAAAGCACGTGGAACGAGGAAGGTAGGATTCAAGGGAGCTCCGATTTCTCGGTTCTTACTCAGAAAGGTGAGGCTCAGGCTGAAACTTCTCGGCAAATGCTCATCGATGATGCTTTCGATGTCTGCTTCTCAAGGTTTGACCAATCTGTTTGCTTGCTTTTGAATGTTTGGAAGCATTTTTGGTTGAGTTTGTTTTAAGAGCAATGTTATTGGGAAACTAATTTATTACCTAATTTGCTGACCTAATTCACTATAACCTTTAGATCGATTGTGATAGTATTTCTAGTTAAACTTCATTGTAGTACTTGGAATTTTGTTTTATACAGCGTTTGGGAGCATAGAGTTCAGGCCTTGGAAATGGCACAATTAGTTCAATTTTTAAAGTACTTTTCCTCATTTTTAATTCCAGACCTCAATTCAATGCTGCAAAAAA